TAGCACAATCAATCATTATAACTCATTCAAGCAATCAAACATACCAATTTAATTCTTGAATAATTAGTGACCACATAATTTTAAAGTTGAATCCTTTTTAATCTACCTCGGCGTTAAATGACGTCTTAAGTGCATAAAGCACCGCAAATCCCATCCCACGGTGGTGGCGTCTTCTGTGGACGCCGCCACCGTGGCCACGACGTCTTGCCCAGGCGCCGCCACCGTGGCGGTGGCATCCTGGCCAGGCGCCAGTAGCCTTGGTTGTGGCGCTGCCACCGCGAAACCACGGCTCCTTCGCGATCCGGCGACTTTGTTTACTTCCACCGCGAAACCGCCTCCCGCCTCCGGTGCCGCCACTTCCCGTTTATTAGCCATAACAGTGTGTTTTAAGATAAAAGTGTGTTTTTGATGTTGAGGGAAAAAATGTCATTTCATTTCAAATTTGTGGGCTTTATGTGGAGATTTGCGGGCGATGTTTAGCAATTCACGTACTAAAACACTTGGTAGCTCAATTCCTATGCTTAAAGCATCAATAAAAATTATATGAACCATAATAAAATTCCCTTTTTATATTCCAAACCAAATTAAACATTTAGTTTAATTAACCTGCTCTTAATCATGCCAATAATAAAAGTATGGTTCATAAACAACATGCCAGGCCAACATGATTAATTCCAATCATCAATTCACTTCAAATAATTCATACTTCACTAATCAATCACCAACATCAATCCAAACAACAATTCCAATCAATTCCTATCATGACACTACCTTGGAATTAATTAATCAAAGCCTAGCATGCTTCTACACACTTAAATAATTATCGAGTACGCGAACGTACCTTGAATATGATCTCAAAATCACCACAACTACACAAAATCACTCACTGGGAATTCTCCTACAATCCAAAGTTACAAAGAGATAGTAATACCTATTTAATATAAATTTCCAGCAATATATACACTCTTTAAATCACTTATAAACCCTCTAAAACAAGCTGAAATTTAATTTAAAACCCTGACTTTAATTCCCAATTAATGGGTAATTAAAAATCCTTTCAAGAAACACAATTCTAACCTTTATATAAAAATTCCACCTTTATAAAAACATGTAAAATTGCTGTAATTATGTTTAAAAACACCTATTTCAATAATATTAATCATCTACAATCAGATTCCATCAATATACATTAATTTAGAAACCTAGGGTTTTCAATTTGGGGCTTGTTAACTCAAAAACTAAATCTGAAAATTATATACATAATAATCACAATGAAACATCATAAAAATCATCACACAACCCAAAAATAATAATTGAATCAAGGCTAGATTAATTTAAAACAAGAAAGAGTTTTTTTATTTTTTTATTTTTATTATTTTTATTTTTTTTTATTTTTTAAAGTCGCACAACCGCACGACGTGAGGGGGCTGTTGCCGCCCTCTACGCCAGTGGCTGCTGCTGCCGGTTGCTGCTGGCGGCGGCGGCCGGTCGGTGCGAAGTGGTGGTGGCGGCCGGCCACCTTGTGTGTGCGTGTGGTATGGGTAAATTAAAAGGGTAGGGGGAAGATTAAGGGAGAGAGAAAATAAGAGGAGGGAGAAAGAGTTTACCTTTGGGTATTCTTCACCTTGGGCAAGATCTAACTTGCTCATAAGATGGGTAAATATACCCCCTTGCTAAAACTCTCCTAAGCTTAAATTCCCTTTCTACCCTTAGTGATCTCTTCTCCTATTCAAACTAGTCATTTGACTTCTTTAAAATTTCATTGACTTTAAAACTTCCTTTTATGAAATCATATGCTCCAAAGTTTCCAAATCATGAAATAAAATATTTTCAAAACTATTAAATAAATAAAAATGGACCTTTAATTAAAATAAACCTTTTTAAATTAATAAAATACCATAAATAATTCATTTCGAATTATTTAAATACTTTATGAAATACTGATTTTTAAATTAAAATACGTATAAAAATACGGAGTATTACAGTATCGAGGCTGGGGCTGGGGCTTGTGGCATGGCGTATCGGGGCTGGGGCTGGTGGCATGGGGCAGTGGGTACGAGAGTTGGTGGTGGCATGGTTGCTGGCTATGTTGGCGTGGGGCATTGGGTATGGGAGTGAATGTGCAGCAGCAGGGGTCTGGGTTGTGTAATGAGTGAGGTGCAGCAGTTGGTGGTGTGGTGGAGTTTAAGGCTTTGAGGTGGTGTAGGATTAGGGGTTACTAGGTCGGGGTTACTGGTCGGTTAGGGGTTACCAGGTAGGAGGGGTTACTTGGTCAGTTAGGGGTTCTTGGGGTTACTAGGTTGGAGGGGTTACTTGGTCAGCGGTTACTAGGCTGGTCAGGGGTTACTAGGTCAGTCATGGGTTACTTTGTCAGGGTTACTTGTGTGTTAGTTGGCCACACCGTGTGGCTAGCCACACACAAAACCTGCTGTTAAATATAGGAGATTAGTTGCTTGCAATATTATATTAACTACTAGATAAAGGAAATTCATGGGACATAAGAATGTAAATAAGGGAAGAAATAATATCATAACGTCGAAAATGAAGAAAATCACCCCAAAATGACGAACGCAATAATTTTGTAAATTAGTTGGTAATAAAAATCGTAAATGTATGATCAATTACTAATGCAGTGAAGAGTACTATATTTTGTTTGCAAATGTTTACATGATGAATATCTTGCAATGTTGGTTACTAACACACATCTCATAAATTGTTACACATTCAATTTGGTAACGGGTTCGAATCTCATCCTCAATCACAACGTTTTTATAGTATAATATCCTTAATCACATAATTATGTGTATGACACTTTTTTTAGTAACAACTTTTTTTTAAAAACGAAAAGTAACAATTTATTAATACAGAAATAAGTTGTAAACAGACGGGATATATACACGTAACAATAATTATATTGTGTGTAACGAATCGTGATTCGATTTAAACTCTTAATTATTTTATTTAAATCTTCAAATCTATAAATTAAATCATACTACAAATCTACGTAAGGTTAAAATTGTCCAACAAAAATATATCGATATGAATGTCTGTAGAAAGATCATTAAAAAAATAATTTCATTGGTTTTTAATTTCCCTCTCGTTTTTTAGCTAATGATGAGTTGTGAATTAAAAAAAAAATTAGAGGAATTAAATTGGTGTTGTATATTTGATCCGCATACAATAATTTTATATTTGTATGCGTATCACCTCCCAATGTTGTAAATTTGTAATATTTAATTTGTAAATTAAATTGATATTGGAATTTGTGAATTATATTGATTTTTGTACATCCTTGTTGTATTCTTTAATCAATTAATATTATATCAAATTATGCCTGATAGTTTATCACTGGAGATTATCACCGGAAATCTGGGATATCCAAGGCAGAATCAGGTCCTGCAAGTGGGAAATTCCTCTATTTCAATGGAGTTGCTTTTGCCATTCTGTTTGTGTCTTCTCTAGACTTGACTCCAGTAACATCATCTAGCTACATAAGCAAATTAATAAAGCACTGACAAGTTCATCAAAGCAAAAGTGATAATCACATAGTTGAAGCAAAGCTACCCACAAAAATATTAATCTAGACTTCATATGTAATGCATAAACCTTATATCTTAGAAAATAGCCTAATACAGTAATACAACCAACTATAATTCCCAGTTTATATTTACCTTTACCATAACTATAACAAAATTTACCTTTACCATAACTACAACAAATAATGAAACACAAAACTACTTGGATACTAGCTTCAGAGTTCTACAGACTATTAGAATGGAAATCACATGTATTCAACCAAAAGACTTTGAATTCTTCGTCCGAAAATAAAGGATTAAATCACAGAATCATAATTCTTCTTGGACTGCCCTGAAGACGTACGTGGCTTATGTACTAAATAATCCATGCTTTTCCATCACCGGAGAATTTACCACTAGAACCATCATCCTCTCCTGTCAGAATCACAATGGATTTCTTCCTCTATCATTTTCTCTTCTATGATTAGGGGTGGTTATTGGGTAGGGCTACCCAATGGCAAAAGGGTCGGGTCTAATATTAAAGGGTTTTGACCCTTTAATTTTTGAATGGACAGGGCTTTTATAGGGTCTTATTTTGTAGGGCATTTATGGGGTTTCAATTAGAGCCCAATAATTTAAGACCTAAAATAAAAAGCCCAATAATAATTGTTATGGGTCAGCCTTACTTCCATTTTCTCTCTCTTTTCCTTTGTTCTTCCGCCCACCTTTCTCTCTCCTCCATTGAAACTTAGAGTTCTCCATTGAAGCGCACTCAGAGTTCTCCATTGAAGCCGCTTCTCAGAGTTCTCCGTTGAAGCGCACTCAGAGTTCTCCATTGAAGCCGCTTCTCAGTTTCTCAGATATCATCATTTTCTCTCTCTTAATCTGTTCTTCAATTTTGATTCATGTTTTCGTTTTGTTTATGTTCTTCAATTTTGATTCATCTTTTTCGTTTTGTTCTTCAATTTTTGATTCATGTTTTCTTGATCATTTTGGTGATTTTGATGTTTAAATTTGTTAATATATCTTATTTTATATGAACATTGTCAGTGAATTCAGAGCATATGATCAATTTGAAAGAATTTTGTTAACCTATGTAAATTTCTATGATATGAGACTTGGTTTGTAATCATCAATTGTTCGTAATTTAGAGTGTGTGAGGAGAGCCCTCTCCGAGGAGTGCCGCGCCCGTGGTGTCTGGGGAGAGCCCTCTCCAAGAGCGCGGCCAGACATCTCCAGAAACTTGAGGGTGAAACTGGTCAATTCACCCTGTCTGCGCCCGCAACATGGGTCGCCGCGCCCGCGGCCCTGGAACACTACTAGAAATAGGCCGGATTCCGACGAAAACGTTCCACGGACTTAAATTCCGTCGAAAATTTCGAAATTTCCGACGGAAATTTGGTCTGTCAGAAAATTCCGTCGAAAAAGGTAAATTACGACGGAAAATCCCTCGGAAATTGTTTTCCGACGGAATATTCCGTCGGAAGCTATAAATTCCGAGGGAAAAAATCCGTCGGAACAAATAATAAAAAAAAAATTAAAAACACTTAACCCTAAAAAAACCGGAACACCCCACACCCCCTCCCCTTCATTTTTCTTTTCTCTCTCCTCTCCTCTCTCTCCGCCTCTCTTCTCTTTCTCTCTCCTCTCTGCTTCTCTTTCTCTCTTCTCTCCTCTTTCCTTCCATTCTCCTTTTGTCGTTCTTTCCCCTTCTCCTCTTCCTAGTTATATCATCAAGCAAATGAAGATGCGCTTGATTCCGTGAACAAATCCATCTTAATGTTGGATTTCGCACAGGGGAGAAGAAGAATTTTCGGAATGGGGGATCCTCGCTGGCAACACTCCTCTGTTTGAGGTGCCCTATCATTGCGTTTCCTTTCTTCGATCTCCTCCTTCTCTCCTCTTCCTTCCCCTCTTTGATTTCATACGACACAACAACGACACCACCGCAACGACAACAACAACAACGACACCAGCAGCAACGAAACAACAACAACAACAACAACATTGTAGATCTAGTTTTTTTTTTTTTTTTAAACAATTCTATTATATTTAATTTTTGATTTAATTATAATGTTATTTTATTAATTTCAGAAGATAATTGTATATTTATTTATTTTGTTTGATTTCAATTATTTTTTTTATTTATTTTTTTCGGATCTCTGAATTTATTTTGTGTGGGTGTTTTTTTATTTTGGGGGTTCGGATGGTGAGGTTGGTGGTGGTGGTGGTTGGTAGATCTGGGCGGTGAGGTGGGTGTTTTTTTTATTTTGGGGGTTTGGATGGTGAGGTGGGTGGGTGGTGGTGGGTTGAGGATATGGGTTAGGGTTAGGGTGGTGGGGAAGGATACGGGTTAGGGTGGTGGGTGGGTTTTTCTGGGAAGGTGGGGTGGGGTGGGTTCGGTTAAGGTGGGTTGGTGGTGGGTGGGTACGATTTTAGGTGGGGTGGTTGGGTACGGTTGGTGGGAGGGGCTATTTTTTAGGTACTGGGTGGGTACGGTTGGTGGGTGGGGCGATTTTAGGTGGGGTGGTGGTGGGTGGGTACAGTTGGTCTAGTGGGTTAGGGTTTGGGTGGGTTGGTCTGGTGGTGGGTTCAGGTAAGGTGGGTGGGTGGGTTCAGGCTAAGGCTGGTGGTGGGGGTGGTGGATGGGGCTTTTTTTTATAATTTTTTTTTAATAACATTTTCGACGGAAAATTTCCGTCGGAGGAAGTAGATTCCGACGGAATATTCCGTCGGAGGAAGTAGATTCCGACGGAATATTCCGTCGGAAGTGGTAGATTCCGACGGAATATTCCGTCGGAAGTGGTAGATTCCGACGGAATATTCCGTCGGAAACGCTATGTTCCGACGGAATCTTTTCCGTCGGGAAATTGCGACGAACTCTCGATTAAAGTCAAAAACAGCGCCGATAGAAATAAATCCGTCGGAAACTAGCCTTCCGAGGAAAAGGTCGAATTTCCTACAAAAGGGTTTTGCGACAGACTGATTCCGTCGGAAGGCTAGTTTCCGACGGAATTTCCAATGTTTACGACGGATTTTTTCCGCCGGAAAATAGCCTATTTCTAGTAGTGGAAGCCACGCCGGCGTCCCTAGCAGTTTATTTATTTATGAACTTGGCTTTAAGCTTTATCATCAACATTTGGAAGATCTGCTTGGTAATCTTTCTAAGCTTGCAATTGTGCAGCGTGTTCCTTAATATGGATGATGATACTACTACTACTTCTACGGCACGTGATGATGGATATAATGAATACATTACTCCGCAACGAAAGAGAAAGAAGAGGTCTAAAGTTTGGAGAGAGCTTATTGAAGGGAAGAATGTTTAAGGTGAGAAAATTGCTACATGTGTACATTGTAATTCTATTTTATCTGCACATCGTGATAGTGATACATCTCATTTGAAGCGTCATTTAGAGAGGTGTGCAAATAGGCCTCTAGGACTTACATTTGAGGAAGATAGTGATGAAGAAAATTTTGTTTTTTACAAGAATGAACTTCGAAAAGAGATTCTTAATTTCATTGTTGAGGGAGGTCATTCATTCACTATGGTTGAAGAACAAGGATTTAGGAGAATGATGAAAAGAGTTACCCCTAAGTTTAAACCATTTGGCCGTACAACCACAAAGAGAAATTTATTGAAGGCTTATGTATTGGAGAGGGATAAATTGAAAGATTTGTTGTTTAATGTTTTGGGTAGAATTTGTTTAACAACCGATAATTGGAAATCAAATCATTCTAGACAACATTTCATTTGTGTCACTTCTCACTTTGTTGATGATTCTTGAAAACTCCGTAAAAAAATTCTTAGGTTTAGGGCCTTGGCTCCTCCATATGATGGGGTAAGTATTGCTAATGAGATTTGTATGTTTCTTTGTCAATGGAAATTAGATGATAGGATACTCTCTATTACCGTTGATAATGCAACTTATAATGATGCAATGGTATCTTGTTTGAAGAGGCGTCTTGTTCCTAGAAGAGGGTTAAGTTGTGGTGAGACATTGTTTCATGTGCGGTGTTGTGCCCATATTATTAATCTTATTGTGCAAAAAGGACTGACTTGTATCAGTGGAATTTTGGATAAAATTCGTTCATTTATATCAAATTTTCTCATAGAAGTGAAGAATTCTATGATTGTGCGGAGAAGATATTTCACCTTGATGTAAAAAGGAAATTGAACCTTGATATGCATGTTCGTTGGAATTCCACGTATAAAATGCTTGGCACTTTTCTTTACTTCAAAGATGTTTTTCTTCACTTGAGATCTAGTCATGCTTCATTTCAATCATATATTCCTTTAGAGTATCAGTGGGAAAAAGTAAGCATGATTCACAATTTTTTGGAGTTGTTTTATGAGGTTACTTGTATGTTTTTGGCGGTAAATTATCCTACTTCTAATGTGTATTTTAAAGGTGCATGGATGGTGCATCGCCATTTTCTTGAGGCGGAGAAAGGTCCTTATGATTATTTAAAGGAAATGGTGAAACCAATGCTTGAAAAATTTGACAAGTATTGGTCGGATTACAATTTGTACTTGTCATTTCCGCCATTCTTGATCCGAGGTACAAAGTGAAATTTGTGGAATATATATGGAAGTGTAGAGGCCTCAAGACGAATTAACTTGGTGTTGGGAACTATGAAGTCAATGTTTAAAGACTATAAGTTGCAATATGCTAGTAGTTCACCTATTGTAGTTGCTCCTTCTCCTCCTAGTACTTCCGGAGCTAGAAACTACTTTGATGATTATGACCATTTTGTCGGTACTAGTGCAAGATCTCAAGTAGGAAAGTCACAACTTGTGATGTACCTAGATGATGATGCTTTAGATCTCAATTCACAACTAGATATTTTGGAGTTTTGGCATCAAAGTTCTGTGAGGTATCCTGTGGTGTCTAAGATGGCACGGGATTTGTTGACTATTCCTATAAGTACTGTAGCTTCGGAGTCTGCTTTTAGTATTGGAGGAAAGACTGTTTCGGCATCGCGAAGTTCATTAAAGTCAAAAACAATTCAAGCTTTAGTATGTAAGCAAGATTGACATTGTGAAAGCAATCAAGTAGAGGTTGATAGTGAACTTGAAGATGAAATCATTGAAGAAGAAGAGGATGATGATGTAGACCCTTTCTACTAGGTTGATATGTTGTTCCTTATTTGTCTCGAATTATTGATTATTATTCTTGTTGTAGTTATATAATTCTACTGTAATGAGAGCCATCAAAATAAAAAAAAGTAGTAAAGATTTGCTTGGCAGTGTGTAGATTTCCACTAACAACATTTGATAGCTTTTATATGTTTGTCTATCAAAAGCAATAATGGAAATTAAAGGTAATGTAACCATTTGGAATTTATGCTTTCCATCAGGATCATCATCATGAGGCTTAGCATTTTCACTGGCAACTGGTATGCACAGGAACTGATAGCAGAAAGTAGAAGTTAATGCCCGTTTCACTTTTACCTCGATCTGACCCGCATTGACCCTGACCCGCTAAATATTCATCTTGACCCGCAACCGACCCACCCCGCTAATGACCCGCTCTAACCCGCCCAATAACCACCCCTATCTATGATCTATACTTCCCTCATTTCTCCACCCATAATATATCTCAACTCCAGATCAATTTGAGACTCGTTATCATCCTCGGTCAAATAACTACGCCATGAAGGAGACTAATCTGAATCTGCATATCAAAAACATTATCATAAAGTTGTTCAGTTGAGGTATACAAAAGAGAATTGGCAGAGGCAATAATTTTCTCAAACTTACTTGCCTTCCACTGTTTAAAATAGAAAAAAAAAAATGAGAGTGACATCACAGCAATAAATTAAACACAAAATAAGTAGTGAAACTAAGAATATTAGCAATCAGATACACACATCACCAAAGTCATAACTCGATAAAGAAGGACGGATGAAAACAGGGAAAAGGAGAATAATATACACACATCACCAAAGTCATAACTCGATAAAGAAGGACGGATGAAAACAGGGAAAAGGAGAACATATAGTCAATTTATTTCATCCCCTCTATTTCACTAAAAAAATTGGTTAAACAGAAGTAATTAAACCACCATAGAAAAAATAATTTTCTCAAACTGACCTGCCTTCCACAATAAAATTTCCAATTAACAATAATCAAAATCTAAAACAATTTTAAGAAACCCCAACACTATCACTGCGAATTAAGTTAATGACACAAAAAATTAACAGAAAGTACATGAGAGGAGAATACGGTCAATGGCAGTCAGACCATTAATACTTCCCATCCAAATTTGATAGCAAGGCAAAAATCATTCGATAAAAGAGACTATTAGACATATCAAGGTTTAGATAGGTGAAATATAACCGAGGCATAGGTTTCTTGATTTAAAGTTTTGATGATTTATTTCAAGTTATGTTTATGTTGTATGAGATGGCAATTCAAGATGGCTTTGATACTTAGTCTGGCAGCACCCCGCACCCCGCACCCCCCACTCACACAATATCAATGTTTAAATCAAACCAGCATCATAAATTTCCAAACTACTGATGAGGTAGTTAAGACTTGGTTGCAACTACAATATGTGCTTAAAATAAATAAATAAATATCAAATCAAAGTGCAACTTCCTACTATTAAACATCGTCACGCTCTTTCTTCTTGTTCTTCTGATTTTGAATCTTTTTATGAATTAAAAAGTCTTAGGAAGAACAAAATGAAACATATTGTTCACCAACCATTCTCTCTTGTACGTACTACTATCTAAGAATGTGAATACCATACAAATAACTAATTTTATTAACCCTAAAATTCAAAAATTAATGTTTTAATCCATTTATTTAATACTATCTAATAAAGTTTGTCATTAATTTATATCACAGCACCACCAAGAGAACCTATTATTTTAATTTATACTACTTCAGAGTCTATTTTCATGAAATTTTGTTATATATAATTATATACCCAACTAAGGAAATCAGACATAGTATTCATCCCTATAAATTTATGCTGAAAACCAGGTTCGAGTCAGGTTAATTTCATAGTTCTATCCCAAAATACAAGGCAAATTAAATTCAAGTATCAAATTAAGTTTGAAAAATCACATAATTTTTTATTTATTAGCAATTTAATCGTTGGCTATGATTTTTCATAACCTTAGTAATTATAAGCAATAGATTAATAATCCACTGTAGAAGAACACTAAATTGACAGACAATTCTGCTATAAACCCTAGATTGTAATTTTAATATTCGATAATTACAAAAAGAAACATCTCACCTCAAAAGCTGCTTTAATGGAGGATAGAAATATCAGACGTCGCAGTGGAAAACGTGGAGTGCGCTTCAATGGGGACTGAGAATGAGAGTGAGAGTGAGAAAGAAGAGGACAGGTCGATGTTGGCCAAAGAACAAGTGGGGTAAATCGGTGAAACTTACTACCAAAATTAGGCTAATGCATAATAGTGATATTTTTTACATTATTTTATTATTCATTTACAATAATGTACATCATGATATCGTGTATCGTAATTTTAATTCAATGTTGAATAAAAAATAAATAAAGATATAAAAGGGTTTATGGTCTTTACATACTTTACCTTTTAGATTAGAATGACTCGTGCGAGTCATGCCTATTCATATATCTCATATATTACCTAAGGTTGGTTATGGGTTTAGGAGCCGACCTAAGCCTAACCCATATCTTAGGGTCTGGGTTATAAATGGATATGGGTCTCAGTGCAATGGGTCCACGTCTGAAAAGTTCAAACCTAGACCCAACCCAGATTCGACCCACAGATCCGTAGATATTTTTTTTATAAAAAAAATGACATAAATCATAAGCTATCTAATCTAAAGAATTAGATGAAAGTAAAACCTACAGAACCTAACTCCAAACTATAGCCGACACTCCTTGAAATATTTTATACACACTCGGGTGTACCGTGCACCCAACTAACCCAAAGTTAGTTTTTTCTCTTCATTTTATGATTAAATGAAAAACAATCATCAAAATGAGAACAAAATGCTCATGGGTGTACCATACTGTAACAACCCCAAATCTCCCTTTACGAAAATACTAGTATAATACGTATAATTATTATACCGTAGAGATAGACTTAGGCGTATTACCGCCACGTGATTCCGCAAGGCTACTCAAAAATACTTAATTAACTCAATAACAAACTTGCAGCGAAAACTCAAATTTCTTTTGTTAATGCTTATAAAAATAGTAACATTGTTATGACTACTCAAAATAAAGACAAAAAAAATAAAAAAAAAAAACAATTGGCACCGGTTCGGTTCAATTGATATAGAAACACTAACATATATATAAAGTTACATATTTTCATTAAAAAAGACTGTAATATTATGATTTTCATCTAAAAATAAAAATAAAAATAAAATACAAGGTCACACTCAAATAAAATAAAATTGAAAAACAAAAAACAAATTTACAGAAGATCTTGTTTATAGCCTGGATTTTTTTTTCTGCCAAGGACTTCAATTGTATCTAAAAGAAAAAGCTGTAACTCAGCCTATAATCAATTGTTTACCATAGAGTTGTCATAATGAAAAATAATAAAACCTTTGTTGCAGCTTCAAGGCTTAGAAGATCTTCATGAAAATCCAACAGTGCAGCCTGTGCAGGTAACATCTCTGCTACAAACTGAAAAATAGAAACTATTATGAACTAGAAACTAGAAATTAAAAGGAGAAGAAGAAGAAATGATAGATCAGAGAATTTAACACATTCTCTCTAGCATTCAAGGGTTCTAAACTCTCCCAAACCTTAAAAATCCTTCAACATTATCGCTTTAATAGTCATCAAATACAACTACATGGGTTTATAGTAATCATTCAACAGGCAGTGCAAATCCCATGCATATTCACTTTATGTACACATGCAATTTTTCTATATAGACTTCAAGCTATAATTGTGCAAAATATCAAATTCTCTTAAGACATTAAAAACAGAGGCAAAGGTTTCATATTTAGCCACTAACACACAGGATGTCTAAGAATAGATTGCAATGTCCCCGAGAGTTCTATCTTTAAGTTTAAAAGATAGCAAAGCAAAAACGAAACAACAAAATAAGCCCAGCTCATAGCTCGATTATGCATGAATCCATCCAAGTAACAGATTCAAAGCAACAGTGATGAACTTCATTCAATGGTGTATTCCAAATAAACAATCCAACAGGCACAGTCAAACACTGCATCTAAAACTTTATTAGATGTTTTACCATATTAGGTTTCTGGATGTTTGTAGTTCAATCCATCAAAACACCTTGTCAAATCTAGATCTAGTAAAATAGATTAATAGTCCCTAGTATCAAAGAGGTCCTAAATCTATACGCATCATACACTTCTTTTGGGCATGTTTTGTAGCTTCTTTATCCAAGTACTCCAAAGGCGAACAAGAGGAGATACAAAATATATGCAAAGGTGTCTAATTGTAACGAAAGACTGGATACGGGACTATAAAATAACAAGTTTTCACATAGAACCTGAATTAGAAAACACGAGATTTAACCCCTTGCAACGCACAGTTTTTTTTAATACATATAAAAATTAGTATATTTCATGTGATTGATTGACCTCTATTAATCTTTTTATAGAATTCCTGGAAGAGATAATTTTTTACTTAAGACTGTTATCTGATTAATTTTAATATCTCATTCGTTAGTTTCGGATAAATGCTTATATATAGCTCCCATCATTTGACGCTTGATAGTATAAGATGAGATCCTTTCACCCACCCCCAATAATTGAACACACACCATGATAAAATGGACACAACATTACAATCAGAGAAAAAAAAGAAGCTGAATTGGTAATCTAAACTAAAGTTCGTAGTACTAAACAATCAACGCCGACATGTAGTGCACGTGGCTCCTGTTTGGGGACTGGAGAATCAAATATACACAGCCTTTCCAACCAATTGAAGTAGGCCTGGCTACTTCACAATGAACAAGTAGAAGACAAATTGTTCCAAGTAAAACCTTGGAAAGAAGTAAGGACATACCTTGCAAAGATAATGCATAAGTGTCATCCTGTTGTTAGTTGCACGAGTATCTGTTAATTTCAAAAGACTATCCAATTTGAAGCCAACCGCAGATCCTATAAGATGTGAAGACTTGAATAACCATTCAAAATATCAAAAGAAGTTTCATCACTTGACAAATAAAAATCAAACAGTTTGCTAGGGTTATTTTCCTTATTTTAGGTTAAGTCGCTTGGGCTTAGTCAGCCTAATATTATTGAGATAAATTGTGTTAGACTTTCTTGAAACAATAATAAGATATATTATAGGACTATATGTTTGACATCTTTAATTCTTTTTGCTATAATAAGAAATTTTATATGAGGAAAAGCGATATCTTACATTGTTACAAAAGAAGAATTTTTATCCAAATATTTACAACATTTTGGACTGTCTCATAAAAGTTTTTTTTCCTCTGCTACATTGTACAAATTAAAGTATTTAACCAATGCAAAATATCTTATTATAAGATATTGTATAATAGTTTTTGCATTTTGCTATATTATAATTTGTAAGATAGTGCTTATCCGAAAACTGATATTACTGAGAAAAATCTACACTACAAAAATTGATATTGTTGCCTTTTGGCAGTTTTTTTTAAAAGAGTTGTTCTGTTCTTGAAAACATTGCTTGATGGATTACTTCATGAACTATTAATCAATCTCCATCTTGATACATTGTATTTATTGCATAAATTGTTTCTTTGGTTTCAGTTTGTTGAAATACTGTTTGAAAGGTGAAAACTCTATGGAGCTTAGTTATGATTGGGCAAGTGATCATGCGAATAAGAGACACAATAATAGGCAGACTAGCTTAATGCGCTTTCTGAGATAAGATAAAGCATATAGGACAATAAATACGTTTAAAGGAGTTCTTGATGGTAAAGGGATTAGCAAACGGACACTTAAGAATTGGATGGTAAGTGATCCAATCCATCTCTATTTTGTTACAGTTTTCAACTAATTGATATGACTAATTGGTTTAGTAGCATATTTTGTCAAATCATGGCTAATCTCGAAATAATGAGCTATATGCCTACATTGCTTGTTCCTTTTCTGAAGATTTCTTTTGATGTCAAAATGTCTAAAAAGAATGGAAGATTGTGCCTCTTCAGAATATTTGATGGTAAGACATTCTATACTTGACTTGTAGCTCGCTTATTTGCATTCTATTTTTGAAGAATTTGAACCATATTAATGTGCATGTTTAGATGCATCTTGCAAATTTCCCTCTCGACCCTCATTCACTCTAAAATCCTTTGGGGTTAGTTATCTTGCTTTTGCTGTAACTGAATTTTATTGTTGCGTTCTCTATATACTTCGCATGTTAATAATTAGCTTTTATTACCTTAATATGTCTTTGACATTGAAGCTGTATCATTTGTGGCTTGTTAGTAATCTTAGTATAGAGCATGTCTTTATTTAACTTACACTAGTGGAAAAACGCTATTAACAACTAGCAAAAAGTGGTTTTTAACAACTCGCGCGCGGGGGGTTGCTATTGCGAATATCAATAGCAACAGGCATTTGCCAGTTGCTAATAGTATTTATTCGCAATTGGTGTAGTGCTAGGACAGCTGCTAATAGCGTTTATTCGCAACTGGCTTAATACTAGGCCAGCTGCTAATAGTGTTTATTTGCAACTGGCCTAGGACTACGTTAGCTGCAAATAAACACTATTAGCAGCTAGCCTAGGACTACGCCAGCTGCAAATAACATTATTACCAGCTGGCTAAAGACAACGCCAATTGCGAATAGTCAATTCTTTAAATAAAAAAATTGCAATTTTTCCAAATTGATATACAAACTATATTATATACATACTATTGTAATAAATAAATTTATGTTGATTATGAAGTATACATTAATTACATATTGAAAAATAAATTACAAGGTTTCTAAAGAAATACAACAACAAAAGCGTCCGGAAATAATAAATTTATGAGCAGTAGAGAGCAGCAGCACGAACAACTTAATTGACTAAATTATCCGTTCATTTTCCTTCAATACAACTACAATAAACAACAATAGCTCAGAGATTCATCTAAAAAAACACAACACTGATTTTTACTATGCAAACCGCCAATATCAATACATACACCCACATACAACACATACAATACCAAGCATTTGGTTCCACACGGCCAATAGCTATTCATACAAATACACATGGCCTGAAACTGCAACCCACAAGTAGTACGCTTGAATTAAAACAGGAGAAATGCAGTAGCAAACTATAAAATAAAATCAAATAAATGAGAGGTCTGGAATACTAAAATTCATAATCAGTCTCTGTTTCAAGCTAGCAAAATCAAAGTGCGACTCATTTCAGATTACCTCTTAAACGACTGGATGCATTGGTTCAAGTTGAAAAAACTTTTGACTCTAGATCAGGAAGCTGTGTTCCATGCTCATATTGAGGCTGGATGCAACGATGCTGAAGAGATCTTCAAAGGCTAGCTTAAATGAAACATGTAAAGTATAAGTGTATGCTTTTACTAGTATAAAGATTAAAGGCACAAAAAGAAAAGGCATAGGTTTCTCATACCACTGTTATAATACAATACATCAGCCCCAACTAATATTTGGGGATGCAATTCGAATATCTGTGCATCCCAGATTCCCCTTGTGAGTACCTTTACCTGCATCAAGAGTAGGTTAGTAGGCATGCATATGTGAATTTTGAACAGGTAAGAGTGTGATGAAATCGAATAGTCGATGAACTAAGTAAAAACTAAAACAAAAAAGGCAAATGAGGGAGAGAATTTATCTTTATGCCAGTCATTCTACTAAGCAAAACCCTTCCCTTCCACATAGAGCATTCAATTGCAAGATAAATTCCTCTTCTTACAAAACTGAATGTTCAATTCAATTCAACAGTACTAGCTATAGCATGAAATTTTAGGTTGATTAATACAATCTAAGATTTGAAACACCCACCCATTTTCTTATAGAGTTTTCACCTATATGAAATTTTCTTAGGAGATTGTATTAATCAATATCTTATACAACCCCAACTCCTAAACAATACTAGGCTACTAGCTATAATATGAAATTTTAGTTAGGAGATTGTATTAATCATAATGCAGCTACTCATGAATTGGAGGAAAATTAGTCACTGTTAGGTAACCGACAATATTGTCAATCTTTATCACTAAACAATTATCAGAATTTATAGCATGGTGATACATTAGATAGTTTTGCATCACTTTAAGTAGTAGTTGTGTACTCTGATCATTCATCTTTCCCATGACTATAATTTGAGCCCTATGGCCCATTTTTTAAATTTTTCTTCCTTTTTTGTAGAGGGCAATAGATATAATTAGTGGAATTTTGACACACTATATGAGTGATTTTATCGATATTTTATAGTGAGTAATTTTATGTGATATTTGGAGTCTTATGATAATTAAATCAATTTAGAGTCATATACTGCACTAGAATCATAAAATGGCGTGATTTTTATCATCAATCACACGAATTTAGTGGGGGGAAATAAATTTAAAAAGACTATGAAAATACAGCAATTTGCATACATGCATTATCTTCCATTTTTTCAGTCCCTCTGTGTGTATCTTGCTGTGGTTAATAGTAATGATGTGATAATGTATTGCGTCAATGATCAGTACTTGAGCTAATTAATCCTTTACTATCTGTAGTAAGTTAGTAACAGTGTAGCTCGGCACAATGCTATGTCTCAAAACTCATAAGGCGGTAAGGCCTCTGTGCAAGACTTAAAATTGCTCTAATTGTTGATCTGAACAAGATTAGGGCAGCATGGTGTAACATTGATGGAATTTAGAGAGCACATGGAGAATTTTCTTCTGTTGAAAAGTATACAAAATTAGTGTTAGCTCAGGTGCCTACACTTGGTTATAGGAAACTAGAAACTAGCTGACTGACGTTTGTTCATCTCTACATCTATGTTGTACCTGCAGCAACTGTGGTGTTTAAAGTTGAGGGCTATCATTCACTGCTAATCTGCCCCTTACTATCCTCTTTCAAAAGACATTATTGTGCAAGGACAACAGCATGTGCACAGGGTTTTCCTTACAAATATCGAGGTTGATGGATATAGTATTATTGTTGTTCTAATTTCTAAAGTCTTGAATGCCACATTTTGAAAAGATATATGGTAACCTTTGTATAAATTCAATTGTATTCTTAAATGAGGCTGACATGATAAAAATATGAACTAACAAACTGTTCAGTTGTACTTACGAAGTTACGATAACTGATTTAAGCATACGGCAAATTCATGGTTTTTTTTTTTTTTTTTTTTTTTTTTTTTTTTTTTTTTTTTGACAACGCAGTTTACAACCAAGACACAAGACTACTACTCATCTCTAGAGACACTTGCTAGATTTTGAGTAGCCTTACGAGATACACATACTGACATACTACAACAATTGAAATTAAAAGTACAAACACGTAAACTAATATTAAGCTTTTTGTTTGGATGACCAGAGAGATTCATTGATGTACCACTGTTGCTCTTCATACCTGCATGAAAATTGGACTTTATGATTGGATAGGCATGGTTATTAGTGTGCAAACTCTTTCTTCGCTTTCGAATCCTTTCTTCGATTCTCCTTTTTTGAAGACTGAAAATATTGTCAATGGCTTCTAAAGAGCCTTTCCTCTTTGACTTATATTTGAACTCAGTAGAGGTTGAACGGGTTCTTTCCTAACTGGCAAACTGGTATTCTTCTCTTTGGGACCCTGCACTTGATACTCATCCTTGATATAGCTAGATTCTTGCGGCGGATGGACATGATTTGTTCCAACATCAACAAAGGCACTTTGGCACTTTCTTTTTCATTCACGAATGATGACTGTTTTTTTTATTGGTGTCATCATCCTCAAAAACACCCGGAGATGGTATCGAGTGAGAGACCATTGCTTCCCTCGAACTATGGTCATGGGGTGTCTCCATCATGATGTGATCTTTCGGGGTGAAGTTACGCACCTTCAAAAAGACATAAAATGTGGTTGATAGAGCCACAACTCTTTCCCCTGCCTCAATTTATGTATGTAAATCTACACGGGCGATTCTCAAACAAGAAGATGACTTTTTTCGGTTGACAAAAGCCACCTTAACCTCACGAGAGGCAAAACTCGAACAATTCGAACCTTTTAAAGTATCCACCTTCATAGGAACTCCACTATCCTTCTTGAAAGACTCATGTCTGCCATAAAGCACTTCACTGGTAGCTTCTAGCTTACCAACAAAAGTCTCCACCTCATCCTTCTCCGTCTTGGACCCTTCAAGTCTAGTACCAGAATCCATTTCTCTTTCATTAACTGAGCTTAGCTTATTTGATCTTCACCATATTGAAGATGCATATTCTCCTCACTCTTTTCCTCATTACCATTCTGTTTCCTAAACACAACTTCCCTCAGACTTGTCAATTCCTTCCCAATTTCCTTATTATTAGGTTCAATCTCTTTTGTTGATTTAAAATCATTAAATGCCTTCTCCAAATCTCCCAACTTCTCCAATGCTACTCCTCTTCTAAACAACGCCTTTACATTTCTCTTATTAGACTCTAGAATCAAAGAACATGAAGTAATGGCATCTCTAAATTTGTTGAGCTTAATTGCACTAGCCGCAATATTCAAATGAAGGTTAAACGCTAGTTCTTTCAACTCAAGGCTAACCTCACACATATGAGAATCATCACTAATGGCACAAATTATAACACACAAGCATTTAATACCCTTATTGTACATCACAAAAGCAGTACTAAATTTTTTAAATTTGAATAGGGCATTTGCTTCATCCTTTAGAGCAGTCACATAAGACATAGCCTCCTCTGAGTCAAGCATTTCCTCAACATCAAAGTCATCCTCCCCCAAATGGTCTAAGTGATGTAGCAAGATAGGTCCTACACTTGAATTTTTCCCCATCCCTTAAAACTACCCAGACAGATATACCCAAACAAACTACTAAGCTAAAACCAAATTAGCAAACAAGCAACATCCCAAGAAGCTAGTGAAGGATTTATGTCTTCGTCAAGTGCTATTACTAGTATATATTGGATCAAATTATGGAGATAATTAAGTTCGTTCTTTTGGGTCGTCGTATTATCATAGCAGAGGTACTTACAATCTTTGGGCTAGTAAAATAGCCTAAAACCCAATTGAACGGATCCTATAAGGTCACACAACGGGCCTAGATTGAGCATAAGAGGAAGAGGTCCATGATGGGCCTTCTCCCTATAGGTGGCCGACCATATGGAGCATTTTAGGTGTATTGGGCTTGCTTCCTAGTCTAGTTATAATATGATTATAAATAGACTAGGTGCCTAGGGTTGAGCATAAGATTCAGTAATCATTAGATCAAACCCTAATTAGCAAACACAAGCCAACCCCTCTCATACTCTCTCTCACTCTCGTCCGTCTCTCTCCCCTTGCACCGGTGGTGTGTGCGGTGGTGGTGGTGGCCAGTTGTCCGCAAAGGTGGTGATCGTGGTTTTCCTCTTCACTCAACCAATCTAGTATTGGTGGATAGCTCATTCGAATCCCGTGGACAAAGTAGAGGAGTCACGCTTGGGGCTCTATTTTCTCACTGATTTGCCGATCGAATAGCTACGTGGAGATCACGCTTCAAAGGTATAACTATGTGATTCTTGTGTGTTATGCATGTGATCCTGATTTAGGTGCGTATGAATATGATTCATGAAATTCCGTTTATAGTACCTAAAAGTATTACAGTGGTATCAGTTAGCCTCTTGCATGAACACACTTAATTATAATAATACGATTATTTGAAGTCCATGTTCATAATTTTATAATCAATTAAGAGGGAGAATTAATTTAATTATAGTTCAATTATTATATTAAAAGTGATTTAACTCTTGGAATTGATTAAATATGATTTAATTTTGCTCAAAACAGCCATGAAGAGGACCGAATTTTGCCCTAGATTGCTCGAGATTTTCGAACCCTAAACCCTAATTTTCGAATTTTTCGAAAATTCATAACCCTAATTTTGATTTTGTGCTTGTTTTTGGATTAATTCGAATTTTTTTATTTTTCATAATTTTAATTAGAATTAATTTATGCATAAAAGTGTTTTTTGTATGATCATCATTTTAATTTTAAGAGTTAGAATTAAATTGGGATTAATTTTATGAAGAACCCTAATTTTAAAATTGAATAGAAATTTAATTTTAATAAAATTTATTTTAATTAAATTAAAACAAAAAAAAAAATTATGTGGCCGGCAGCCACGGCTGGGTGGCGCAACCACGGTGGTTGCCGACCGGCATCAGTCCAAAAGAAAGGGAAGGGAGGGCAGGTGATATGAGGTGGCTGGGTAGCAGCATGCAAGCGTTGCACGGCTGCTGCCGTGGCTGCCTGCTGTTGTTGTTGTTGTTGCTTTGCGTGACAGTGGTTGCTGAAACGCAGCTAGCCATCGTGGCTAGCATAGGCTGGCTACGCATGGTGGCCTGCAGCCACGGCAGAGCTGCTTGTAACACCCTAGAAATTCCTTTCCTTAAAAATTTTGCCTTTTCAAAATACGAAGAAGGAAAATCTAAGACATTACCGCCACCGTGAAAACGGCCAAGGAAAATATCAAAGACTCACACAACGGAAGACTAAGTCAACTTAAAAAAAAAGTCAAACCAAACGAAAGTAAAAGTCAAACAAAGTCAGCCCACAACTTGGAACCATCGTAGGCCCTTAAGACCAAACAATACTGAAAACCTTTGCGTTAGTCTCATGATCAATATAAATAAATAATACTTAAAGCAAATAAAACACATCACATTCCTATGAGAACTAAGCATGATTCGCTCTTCACTCATGCCCTTCATGAATATGCTTCATCACCTGAAAAGCTTCTCTCTAAATGTCCCCACTACGCTCCATTAGAAATGGGTCGTTGTAGGGCCAAGGCAAAGACAAGGCCATACAAACATGCAAACACACAATCAGCAAAGCTGAGTTCATAAACATAATAAAAACACACTAACATGCTTTCATCCTATCATCACACAACTTACCGTGCTGCACCTGTTTACAAGCATACAAGACACCCAACACCTAACTAGACAAATACCAATGTTCATTTAAATTTGATTACGCATCGAACGGGTTTCCCCCTAACCTGCCCCAATAAAGGGGTACTAACACGGGAGCTAACTGTGAAAGTATAAAATAAACCACTCGTAAGTGGCGGAATTCCTGCGCATAATAAAAAGGAAAATACAGCGTCCTGTACTCCATTAGAAGTTATGGTCAAATATAAAGTCGCATAACTCTCCCCATATGTTCATACTCAAGGTATTTACGTTGCAAGAGTTTTGGTGCGTAATCTCTTTCACTTTACGTTATTATTTACAAATTATTAGACTTGGTGATGACTCTCAAACACAACACAAATCAAACACTATAATTTATTCAAACATTCAAACATACCAATTTAAATTCTTGAATAATTAGTAACCACATAAATTTAATGTTGAACCCTTTTTAATCTACCTCAGTGTCAGAGACACCTTAAACGCATAATGCGACACAAATCCTATCCCTCGGTGTCTAAAACACCTTAAGTGCACTTAGGCACCAAAAATATAATTTAATCCTCGTGTACATAGAACTTAAATAGCTCCTTCCTCATGCTTATAGCATCAATAAAAATTATATGAACCATAATAAAATTCCTTTTCAATATTCTAAACCAAATTAAACACTTAGTTTAATTAAACATGCTCTCAATCAAGCCAATAGTAAAAGTGTGGTTCATATCCAACTTGCCAATATAATTAATTCTAATCACCAATTCATCATGAACAATTCATACATCACAAATCATTCACCAACATCAATCCAATCAACACATTCCATCCAACACCTATCATAATATTACTTGTAATTAATTAAACAAAGCCTAGCATGCTTCTATACCCTTAAGCATTACCAAGTACGTGAATGTACCTTGAATATGATCTCAAAATCGCCACGACTAAATAAAATCACTCACTTGGAAGTCTCCTACAAACCAAAATTACAAAGAAGTATTAATACCTCTTTCACACAAATTTCCAGCAATATATACTCTCTTTAAATCACTCATAAACCCTCTAAAATATTTTGAAATTTAATTTAAAATCCTTACTTTTATTCCCAATTAATGGGTAATTAAAAATCCTTCCAAGAAACTTAATTATAGCTTATATATAAACAAAATTCCAGCATTATTAAAACATCTTAAATTGCTGTAATTATGTTTTAAAACACCTATTTTAATAATTTAAATCACCTACAATCAAATCCTATCAATAAACATTAATTTAGAAACCTAGGGTATTCAATTTAGGGCTTTTTAATTCAAAACCAAATCTGAAAATTTATATACAAAATACTTATTATTAATCATCCTAAAATCATCACAAAACCCAAAAACAATAATTAAATTTAGGTAGATTTAATTAAAAATCAAAAGATTTTTTTTTTTTTTTAAAAAAGCATGGCGCACGACCACCATGGCTGGAAGGCTGCCACACGCCCGCCTGGTGGTCGCCGCTGGTGCGCAAGTGGTGGTGGCCGCCAGCCGTGTGTGGCGTGTGTTAGTGGCGCTGGCCGTGTGTGGTGGTGTGTGGGTGGTGATTAAAAATAGAATAATTAAAATTAAGGGGAAGGGGAAAAATTAAGGAGAAAAGAAAATAAAAGGAGAGAGAGAGTTTACCTTTGGGTGCACTCCACCTTAGGAATATGATGGGTATTTATACCCCCTCTCAATCCTTCCTACTTAAAATTCCTTTACTACCCTTGATGATCCCTTTCCTAGTCAAAGTTGTATTTTGACTTTCCATAAATATCATTGACTTTAAAATTTATCTTTTTATAAAATAAAAATGCCCCAATATTTTTAAATCATTAAATAAAATATTTTCAAGATTATTAAATAATTAAAAATAAACTTTTAATTAAAATAATTCTTTTTAAATTAATAAAAACACCATAAATAATTCATTTTGAATTATTTAAATACTTTAGGAAATACTTATTTAAATCAAAATACGTATAAAAATATGGGGTATTACAGTCTACCCTCCTTAAAAGAAGTTTCGTCCCGAAACTTGGGTAACGAAATTCAAAATTTCTTCCTCACTTTGTATATATTGATGTACTCCTTTGTCATACTTTTGCCTTTAACATCTCTTTGAAAACAAAATTACTCAAAATAACTGTTAAAAATGTGCAAAAAGCACAAAAATAACTGAAAAAAGCGCGAAATTCTACCGCATTCTACCCCCCTTAAAGAACACGAGTTACGTCCCCGTAACTCACCATACCTTAAACAACTCAGGATATTTCTTCTTCATCTCATCCTCGGCTTCCCAAGTTGCTTCCTCATACTCTTGGTTAGACCATAGCACTTTGACAATCTTAACTTCCTTATTGCGTGTACTACGCACTTTACTGTCAAGGATCTTGACAGGTCTTTCCTCATAAGTTAAGCTTTGATCTAACTCAATAGTTTCGGGTTGTAGCACATGTGACTTATCAGGGATATACCTTCTTAACTGAGATACATGAAATACATCATGCACTTTACTTAGTTCCATAGGTAAGGCCAATCTATAAGCCACTTTGCCTATCCTTTGCAATATCTCATGTGGACCAATGTACTTTGGGCTAAGCTTTTCTTTCTTTCCAAATCTCATTACACCTTTCATTGGTGACACCTTTAACAATACTTTGTCACCGACCTCAAATTCCTCCTCTCTACGCTTCAAGTCCGCGTAGCTCTTTTGGCGATCTTGCGCCGCTTGAATCTCCCTCACCTTCTTAACTGTATCCTCGATCATTTGAGGCCCAAAGGAATCACACTTGGGGTTCTAGTTCTCCTATTGTTCTTTCTCGATCACACGTGGATTCACGCTTCAAAGGTATAATTCTATGTTCTTTATGTGTTGTGCATTGATCTTGATTGTTAGATGCTTATGAATATGATTCATGCAATCCCGCTTAGTGCATCTATAGTCCTACAAAAAACCCTAGTTACATCCTATTACACATGAAACTCTCTCACAAGTTCTTACCCGACAACTTGCTACACTCACAAGTTCCTACCCGGACATTTGCTACCTGATAGGACCCTATCCTATCCAACCTAAGTACCACACTTAGGTTCACTCAGCACTCCCAGAGTGCCTACACTCGTATTCTCACTAGAAGCTTACTCACTGTACACTCACAACTACAATCGAATTTTATAGAATTCAAACTCATAGCTATAATCGAATTTTAGAAAATTCAAACTCACACCCCAATACCCAATACCCAAAACACTCAAACCCTTTTTCCCATTACAAGATCTCATTGAATAACTCTAAATACATATCTATGAATAAAGAGATAAAACTAATATGTTGGACACTTGCGATCTGTCTGGAACTCACTGGACGTACTGAAACCAAAACTTGATAGGAACTTTGACCAGGAGAACTGACTTAGCTTCGTGGTGAAGGATGAAACCATTAAGCACAACCGCTACACTTCGTCAGCCTCAACTTTGAATGAATACATATGAGCATATTTATAGTACACTCGAATTATTCATTTCATCTTGAAAAAGATAGGTTTTATCAAAAGATAAGTTTAAAAGATATTTTCTAAAATAAGTTTTCCGAAAATATATCTTTTTGTTAAGAATAAAATCTATCAATAATAATAAGATATAATTAACATTAATCATATTTTATTCAAAATAAACTTATCTTTTTGTTTAAAAATACTTTTTAAACAAACTTATCTTTTTCGCCAAAAGGGATTTATTAGAAAATAAATATCTTTATTCAGTAAAACCAAATCCCTAAAAGATATGCACGTATTAGCTAGGTGTATATATATATATATATATATATATATATATATATATATATATATATATATATCTCATTAAAACCGACATTTAAAGACGTGCATACTTAAGTTCCCATTAGGTTCGGAACACTAACAGTCTCTGAGTTCTTGACAAGTCAATAACTCTAATTTTATTGACTATCGGGAGAAGTGTTAGCATGCGTGAGTCACATGATAATCATTGCGCATAATTACAAAAATGCCCCTGGATGTACCTAGAGGAAGGTACACCCGGGTGTACAGCACAGGTGCTGATAGACTACAAGCTAAGTATGCTGAGTTTTGTGTATATAAAATATGATCTTTTTCAACGTGATGATATAATTTCATTGTTAATAATTACCCACAGCCGTGTCCAAGAATTATACCTTTCGGAGTTATTGGAGAATGAGAGAGGAGAAGAGAAACGTGAGAAGAAGAGGGCGAGGAGAGGAGAGGAGGGCGAGTAGAAACCAGAAGAGAAGGGAAAGAGGAGAGGAGAGGAGGGAGAAGGAGAAGAGAGGCGGAATAGAGAAGTGAGAAAAAAGGAATGAAGAGAGAGAAGAGATCCGGGTTTTAAATGTAGGGTTTATTTTTTTTTTTTTAAACTGAATTCCGTCGGAGTATTTCGTAGGAATTTTTATGTTCCGACGGAATTTTCCGTCGGAAGTTTCCGACGGATTTTATTTCCGTAGGAAGTTTGATGTTCCGATGGAAAAATCCGTCGGAAGATTCCGACGGATTTTATTTCCGTTGGAAGTTTAATGTTCCGACGGAATAATTCGTCGAAAATCCTATATTTTCCTACGGATAAATTTTCCGTTGGAAATTTCCTACGAAATAAAAAATCCGTCGGAAAATCCTAATTGAAGCATGACAGCAAGCTTAGTGACAGCAAACTGTCCGTCAGAATTAGACCTATTTCTAGTAGTGAGCTTCACTAAGCTTGCTGTCATGCTTCAATTAGGAAGCTAATTGTGTGTACCTGTTAGGGAACACATTATGTACCTATTAGGGAACATGCTCCGGCTCTCGTGGGAAAGCCTGCTGAAAGTTCCTTCTACATCTCGTTGGAGAATACCTTCAGGTTACTTCATGGGAGAACCTGCTTTAGGATCATTCATTCTCTTTTGTTCCTCTTGAAGTCTTCTATGTTCCAACAACCCATTGACTTCACTTAAGTCAGTTCCTGTCTTCACACAAACACTTAAGAGAACATTAGATTGAAGTTTGTTTGTCATAAACAAACTTCAAGTGAGAGAACTAATTAAACTTAAAGCCACATATTTTTGTATTTTTATATTTATAAAAACAATAAAGAAAACTAAAACAAGACCAAACTAAACTAGAGCTAACCTAAAAGCAAACTAGAAAAACTAAACTAAATTAAAAGACTCCTACACATACATGACCCATGTATGCATAGGATACTTACCTCATGAAGCTAACATATGTAAACACTTATTTACATAGTTACCTTCATGGTCCTTCACCATCATTATGCTTATCAACCATCACTCATCATTGCTCTTGTTCCTCCTATTGCTTATTATATATTGCTCAGGTTCCTTATATATATACTTGTCATTGATCAGGTTCCTTGTACCCTGTTCCAAGCATAACTTGTTCTTTCTATGTACAACTTAACATATACGTTAGATAGATAATCATCATTAGTTTACAATCATCAAAACCTAATTACTCAACATATATAGAAGAAAGAATACGAGTAACATGCATGGCTACGTACTATAAATTAAATTGTCCAGTAACATCATATATGATTCTAAATCATAATTATATGTCACGTTATAAATCTTGATTAGTATTACCATTCAATTCTGCAAATTAAACTATATCGTCTATATGCAATATGCCCATATGTATGTACTATTTCATTAATTGCAAGCAAAATAGGCAGTAATACGCACATCTAAACACATGCATGCATGCAATGGATCGTACTTGTAATTAATAAGTTAAGTTAGCAACTATCATATATTCATATCAAATGAGAGTGAGAGTGAGGGATAACTCAAGTGGTTAGAGCTTCCCTCCCAATTCCAAGAGATCTTGAAATCGATTCTCATCCCCGCCCTTATAGCACTAGATTCTAAAAAAAAAAAGAGAGAGAGAAGAATATGGATGTGAGAGCTGTTGGGCCCGGGTCACCTACCTTGATGAGTCGCACACACACTCCACTCCACATTAGTATGATATTGTCCGCTTTGGGCCTAACCCGCACGGATTTGTTTTTGGGCACTTTCCCAAAAGGCCTCATACTATTACAAGTATGCACTCACTTATAAGGAAGTCCTCTCTTCCTTGTTTCTTCCATGTGGGACATGGGACGAACTACCCCAACAAACCTCCCCTCAGACCAAGGACCACATAACTCATGGCCTCCCCTCCAACGAAACTATCTTGCACCGCTGCTATCACCACGGGATACGACGCCTGAGCCACAATATTAGAAGGACTTTCGACACAAGGCACCACAATTATATTGCGAGGTCACACAATTGAGGGAACCCCGTCCCACACATAATGCCCGTATTGCCCCAGCCGAACCGTCGGCTCTGATACCACTTGTTGGGCCCGGGTCACCCACCTTGATGGGTTGCACGCACACTCCACTTCACATTAGTATGATATTGTCCGCTTTGGGCCTAGCCCGCACGGATTTGTTTTTGGCACCTTTTCAGGCCAAAAGGCCTCATACTAATAGGAGTATGCACTCACTTATAATGAAGTCCTCTCTTCCTTATTTCTTCCATGTGGGACTTGGGATGAACTACCCCAACAAGAGCGTGGAGCAAAACTTTGAAGAAGCAACTCAAAATAAGAAGGGAGAAGAATGATAGAGAATAAACGTAGATACATATTATTTAACAAATATACTTCCGATCCTCTGTTATTTTTTATGCCGGAAAAATTGCTAATAACTTTGGAATTTCCTCTATTCATACAAATTCCTTTAATCGTCTCTTGGAAGATTCATCTCGAAATAATTTTTTTCAAAATATCAATTTTTAAATAATATTTACAAAAAAATAATAAAAGATATTTATGTTATAAAAATTGTATTGCCATATCAGCAAACGTGAAATTTAATTTCTAACGTATCGATTAAAAAAGAACGAAGGAAGTAATATGAAGAACGTAAAGTATATATGTATTAACCTCAATCGATTTTGGATATTATCTTGAAATCCTGAATTAATTATACAAAGTATATACTTTTCAAACTTTATCTGATACTTATAAAGTATATATAGAGTTTAAATAACCAATGTTGCTGCTTAATTAAAAAGTGTTTTCAACTATGATCAACTATGGTCAATGGAGCTTCCGCTACAAATGAGGATGATTTCCTCTACTGGAAGTACCACCCCTCATGTAGGTATACGGTTAAAACCGGGAACTACTACCTTTCAAAGGATTTGGGGTTAGAAAGAGCTACTTTCTTGGCAAGGGATCAGGAGTTCTTTAAGTTGGTGTGGAGAATGGATATCCAACCAAAGTGGAAGCTTTTTCTGAGGAGGCTCTTTCATGATGGCATTGCTGTCAAAGTTAATCTGGCTAGAAGGGGTATTCAAGTGGAAACAAAGTGTGATCTCGGTGGGTGGGAGGGGGGGGGGGGGAAGAGGAAGACAGCCAACACCTCTTTAGGTTTTGTAATCAGGCAAAAGAAGTTTGGGAGACTGGTTCCCTAACTATTTGCCTTGACTCTCCTGGGTCCATTTCCTTAAAATGATGGATTCAACACTATATCCTGCTTTTTATAGCGAGGATGGTAAACAGGGTACCCGATGTGTGTTGTTTATTGCGACTCTATGGGGTCTATGGAAAGCTAGGAATGCAAGATGTTTTAGAGGAGCTATGGGGACTACTAGCCTAGTGATGGAGTTCATAAATCTTGAAATGCAAGATCATGATACTTTCACACAACAAACTAGCCCTATAAGTGAGGCAGAGGCTATTAGTAGGGGTAACCCAATCAGGGATGGAGAAGACTGGGTATGACGATTTCATTGTGGAAGCCGACGGATCCTGGGATAAGAAGACTACGAGAGCAGGGATAGGCTGGGCAGTTAAGAGTAATAACCTAACTAGGTTATGCCCTCGATGAGGGTGGAAAACACGGAGCATCAGCGTGCGTCATCCAATGTTAAGCTCGGGCTTGCCTGGAAGCGATGAAGTGGGCTCGATCTAAAGGCAGGCATGGAATCCTTCTATTATCTGACTCTATATCCCTTTTGAACAACTTACAGGATAACCCTGACAAGGAGGTCTCGATAACTTGGATTCTATAGGAGCTAAGGGAAGTGGGGGCTTTGTTTCAAAGGTGCACAATCTTAAAAGTCCATAGAGATCAGATACAAAGGGCGAATGATATCGCAAGACAATATCGGGTTACTCTTTCAAATTTGTTGATTTTGCTCGTTCTCTTTTGCTTTTGTCAAAAAAAAAAAAAAAGTTTTAACTTTTAATGTTTTGTATTTCAATTTAGTTTTGTAAGAGCTAATAAGGCTCGATTCCGTAGTATTACATGTGTAAGCTAAGGGTTTTGATAAGCTCTACTGACTACTATTATTAGTTTATGTTGTGCTAGCTAGTTTATTGTACTACGTGAACATTTTTAATTAATGTATGATTGAGCTTATGATTATATTAGAAAAAAAAAAAAGTAAAAGTGTTGCATAAATCGCTATTTAACTCCGCGTTACAACAATTTTTGTTATTCAAAGTAACATTATCCTTATCATCATATAAACTCACAAATCATACAGTTTTTATAAGTGTTGCACACCATATTGTAACACAAATCGAAACAACAAAAACATCAACAAAAGTAATCCCAACAAAAGATAAACAACAAAGGATATTTGCTAGCACATCATCTTTTTTTTTTTTTTGAATAGATGTAGCACATCATATTGTAAGTACATTTCACACAAGTAAACATATTGTATACAAACAACGATAACAACACACGGCTGTACGTTGTTACTTGCTAGATGCTCTCTAGGCAATCGATCAATACTTCCGACGTAGGAGCTAGTCGATCACTTGTCATCTTTAAGGTGATGAGCCTCGATATCTCTAGAGACTGCAATGCAAAAGTCGATTAACTTGGTAGGATAGTGGCCTTTATCATCTATTGTCTCAAACTCAGCAATCCATTTCACTCCGGTTATGTCACCCATTGGAATCACTTGGACTGTGAGAGTGAAGGTCTTAAACTCGTTTAGAAGATCTCCTTCGATGATTTTGAATCTCACTAGCTTGTTCTCTTCGTCGATTACTTCCACTAGCTCCTTTGCCACGCATTTTTTTCCGTCTGTAATTCATGGAACCACCACCATTATTGAGATTGATTCATGTGAACGCGATTTGAATTAAAAATAACGCGAAGTAGGTTTGATTTTGGTAGCTAGTCAAGCCTTTCAACTTTAATTATATGCCTTTTTAACTTGTTAATAATTAAATCGTAATAAACTAATTGGATGTTGGTGTAGTGGTGATTGGGACTACATTTGGTCGAGAGGACTGTGTGTTCGATCCCCCACAACGAAAATTGGGAGGAGATTGGAACCTAACCACCCAGAACTGATCCCCGAATCCGAATTAGCTCAAAGGGTAAAGCGGGTGAAATACCAAAACAAAAATAAATTAAATCGTAATAAGATGGGATGGCTGGTAAGCAAGGCGTATTTAAATTAATTAATTACGCCTATCCCTAATAAAGGAGTTGAACCAATTTGATCTAAAGGAAGGATTTATAGTACTTCCTCCGATCCATTCTTTTTGAGCAGGCATATGTTTATCATATTTGTCAACGCACAAGCTTAACGATTAATATCAATAAATTATATCATATTAACGAAATATCACATGACTATGCTTGATTTTTTGTAAATATAAATCACAAAACCTAGTAGTCAAAAAAGAATATTCATAAAAACATCATATATAATTGTAATAATGGATTTTGAAAATTACCGAGGGTATAGTCCCAGTTAATGATAGAGCCAGGCTTGCCAAATTCACCGTCGTGCACATCACAAGCATGAATATTTGAGGGAGACATATCGGAGACATGGTGAGGCCTTGTGCTAAAAATTTCATGAAAAATATCACCATGACAATTTATATCAACCTCAACTTCCAATTTTCCTTTGATGCCCATTTTTGAGAGAGAGTAGAGATAGAGTAAACAAAAATGGATGTGGTGATCAAATATAGTTGTGCTAGATGCCCCTTTTATGACCGCATCAAAAATGTACCTTTAAAAGGCCTATACATGTTTTTAATTCTATGATACAGCCACAACTGTTTTCTATCATCATGTATTCATATGTAGGGTTGGAGATCTTATTTTGTCGAACACATTAATTATGCTACTCCATATTCATTTAAGATTAAGATAGCTACAGGATAATTTCTTATTGTACTTAGATTAAAAAAAAAATTAAAAAAAATAAAAATCTTACATTGGACTATATAGTGGTTTTTCTCTACTACAAAAGTAGCAAATTCACACCTCTCCTCAGGTATTTTTTTAATTATAATGGTGGGATTTTCACGATTGCATGTTGATGCACATTTTCAGTGTTATTGTTTTTAATTATTAAAAGTTAATATTTTAAGGTATTGTTTGGTTGTCCTTAATTTTCATAGGCACTCAAATTTTTCATGAAATTTCTTTTGGTCATGCTTTCTGGCTCGTTGACATTAAAATTTATTATAAAGCAAAATTGGAGGAAGTCATATATAATTCACGGGAATTATTACAATTTTTCACAAAACATGAGAAGTTATTTAACCACCTCACCCTAAGAATTACAAATTTTCACATGATAACCAAACACAATATTGTAATCTTAGGAATTTTGTAAAGATATTAAGTTTCCATGCATTAGAAATTTCCCATAGGAATTTATTTCCTACATCCACCAAACGACGATGTTTAAAATGATATATATCAAGAAATTTGACAAGATCTCACATGACTATATTTTTCCTAATGAACACATCATAAATAAAAGAAGACTGTCAAAATTAAAGAGTTTTCGTGAATAATATTTTATTTTATTTGAAAAGTAAATTAAGCATGTGAGAATGAAAGAAATAAATAAAAAAAAAGTAGTATTGGGATTGAACGGAGACCATGAGGGGAGAGAAATATATAATAGTAGTTAATGCCCAGCTATGCTCGGATTTTTCATTTGAAACATGGTTAAATTATCTTTATGCATAATATTGGAAACTTATTTTGTTTGAAGATTTACCCCTTTTTTTTTTTTTTTTTTTTTGAAGGATGTATGATGATTTACTTAGTCGATCAACAATGAGAGATTTTATCAAAATTAACGAATCTTTCATTTTACTTAGTCAAAATTGAATACAGGATTATGAATGTTAAGATAAGAATTTTCAATCTTATGTTTTACCTTATAAAACTAATTCTAAAATAACTTCAAATATTTTTTTTATGCAGGAAATTTTTTAATAAAGCGATAACATGTGTATTATAGGGATGCTTTTGGGGATTACTTTAGTATAGTACTAGGTTAGTCTCGTGTGATGTACGGTTTTAGCAATAAAACTTTAGCTCTTATGTGCTTAAATTATAAATAATTTAAGAAAAAATTATAATACATAATGATCTCTATAATAAAAAAATGACGCTATATATTCTAATTAAATTCATAATTAAAATGAAATATGTGAATGTTAGCATTATATTGATCAGTTTAGTGGTTTTAAGCTAGTAAGAGAAACAAAGAAGGAAAATGTACAATTAATTTACCTTTTTCAAATATTAGCTTTATCTTGAAATGGAGAAAGGAAAAAAAATAAAAAAGGATCGAATGATGTCATTTATAATTTTGGAGGGAAAATTTTTAATAGGAAACTAACACATGGCAGTGCTGATGTCAGCGGTAATTACTTTAGTATTAGTTATAGATAATTAAGATATATATAGATATATAGAGTGGGAATGACTGTGTTATAAAGAGAAAATATTATCAAATAAAAAAAATGCCAAATAAATTTACTCAATGATAAAAATAGTACTCCGTATTAGATTAGTATACACACTTATCCAGAGTAAAAAATAGTCAAAGAATTAAAAACAGGTTTAACCTAAAAAAAATAAATTATAATGCTTTAATTTTTATTTAGGCGGGAATTTTTTTTATGAGAGAGTGACATGTGTACATTTGAGTTTAGCGATGATGTCAGCTGTTGTTGTTTTAGTATTATTTATAGATGTAGATTAAATTGTAGTAGTTTGCCAAAATGTAATTAAGTGCAACACTAAAAAAAAGAGACACATTTTATAAGTGTAACACTTAAAAAGCGGAGAAATAATATTGTTTTTTTTAACATAGATTATAGTAATTAAATTGGCACTGCGTCCATATGATGCATTAAATAATTTCAAAAGGTATAGATTTTAAGTTTTAACTATCTAATATCAAATTTTTTTTTTGAAGAAATATCAAAAAAAAAATTTAATTTTACTAAAATGTAATTCTACTCTCTTATTTTTATTAATAAATTAATTGATTAAACTGACTGACAAAAATAAATAAAATAATGTAATTAATCTACTTTTAGTTGTAATTTAAGTAGCCTTAATTTCATTTCCTTTTTTTTGTTGAATAATTGATTTATTTTTAATCACTAAAGAAAGAGCACTATTTTAGTCTTAACAAGGGGACACCGCAACCCAATGTCTTGGTTTAGATAATAGAGAAAATTAAATGAAAATTGTTAATTATAATTTTTTTTTTTTGGAAAATGATAAATAACCCTAGGGCTATGTGCGTATAAGAAGCTAAAAAATAAGATATTAAAGATTGATAAAAAAATTAAATAAATAATTACAACAATGCTTTGTGCATGATTTTATCATGAATTTTTAACTTTATTCACTTTAAGAAAGTTTATTAATGCTTATGTATAGGCGTATAGCCCTATGTATAGCCTTTTAGTTGTTAGTTTTTTTTTATATATTTTTTTTATCTTACCGATTAGTATACAAATTAGGTCAAAATTTATTTAAATCTAAAAATTAGATCAGATCAAACCAGTAAAATTCATATGAGATCATGTGAACTGAATGTAACCGTAGTCACATATAACTCCCTCCACCTTATTTCAATTTATATATGCAATGTCCCCAGTTAGTTGTCAAGTTTTTTCAAACAAGTATTATAAAGTAGGTGGGAAAGATTGAATTGATTGCAGTGGAGTTATGAGAGTCAAATCGAGAGTGAATCGGAAAGTATGTAGGTGGTTGAATAGTACGGAGTAGTAATTTTGGACAACAATGCATGTGGGCATGGGTCACTAACTCACTACATACTAGCGCTATTTTAATAACTTATCTTTTTGGGAGACATAATTTTGATGTTTGATTCAATTATTATAAAATAGATGTACGTATATTATAAAACTAGTGATTCATGTGAAAATCTATTATATTTTACCTAAAAGTTTTTGATTAATTGAAGATATTATGTTTTAAAAATGATTATTAAACTGAATTTACTTTTATAAACAAAATGCTATGCAATACCGAGGTTAAAATTTGTAAGTTTGAGGGATAGAATACATGCATTTAATAATTAGGTTTTCTATAGATATAGAACTTTATTATATTATCAATAATAATAATTAAAAAAAAAAAGATCGGCTCTAAGAGTTAGTGACACGTTATACACGTTATGAGTCATTAGCTATATGAATATTGAATAGTTATGTTCTCGTCACCTAAGATTAAAAAGAAAAAAAATGCATTTTGGTGTAAATTCATTAGAGTTGGGTTTGGTCTAATCTAATCTAGTCTAGCCTAGCCTAGTATTAAATTTCTTGGTTTGGTCCGTTTAATTAATCCTGTAATTCGACAAAATATTTTTAACCATAATTTATTTGATGATAAACCACTAAGAAGACTTATCATGATGTGTTGGTTTTGTTCGATCCGTCTCAATAATTGCAATAGAGTCCCCATCTGTGAAATTACATATGCATCAATGCTATATTAAATTATAATTATCCCTCCGTGGTTTAATAAGTGTTACATTTTGATTTATTTATAGATAAATTAACAGTCAAGTCGTGTCTTAATATGTGTTTTTAGTCAAAGTGTAACACTTATTAATGATTGCTTAACATGTGTCAAAAATGGTGTAAGTTAATAGATTAGAGTATTAGACATGACACGTTTCAGTGTTAGTTAATAGATTAGACATGACATAAATGCTCTTTAGTGTCATCCACTGTCTTAATAGTTAATAAAAAGTTTATAAACTTGGTAGTGTATTTATAAGGTCCTTCATTAATTATATCACATCATAAATATCATCAACTTATTATCCATATTCATAATTAACTTCTTATACGAGTACTTTTTTTTTTTTTTTTTTTGAAGAATTAACTTCTTATATTATTGCTAATTAATAAACACAAGCAAAACAGCAATTTAAACAGGTTATTCAACAGATCCCATTTTCTACAATCGGAAGTGTATTGCATATCATGCTGAAAATATACACCCATACTACGTACATTATACATTATTTTCTACAATCGGAAATTTATTGCATACATTACAGTCGTAGATCGATGAAGATGCTAAATTGCATACACTCATACGCACATTTATTGCGCACACTCTTAAGTAAATGGGCGTGCCCAACTGGCTGCTGATCATGCTTTGAGGTGATGGGCCTCGATGTCTCGGGTGATTTCAATACAGTAGTCCATTACTTTTGTAGGGTAGTTTCCTTCCTTGTATAGTTGTGTATCTTCTCAAACTCAACTGTCCAATTGACCGTAGTTATCTGATCCTTTGGAATCACTTGTACAATGACAATGAAGCTCTTAAACTCATTTAGAAGATCTCCCTCTACGGTTTTGAATCTCACTAATTTGTCTTCTCATCAATTGCTTCCACTAGCCCCTTTGCAACACGCTTCTTACCATTTGTACGTTTATATGTATTTAAGGTCTAATTAGTCTATCGACATGTATATCAAGTTTAATTAACCGTGTTAATCTTCTGAGATAAAGGGAGTTATTCATTACTAATTTTGTCGCGTGTCAATATTCATTAATGAGATTATATGTACTTGTTAATTGAATTTATTCATTCATTGCTTTTTTAATTGTAACTAATTAAAATGGTATTTTTTGTATACTCTGCTGATCCCTATGTTCCTTTAAACCTAATTGTGAAAAATTGTACAGGCGCCATCACAAATTAAATCCGAATTATTTTACAGTGCTGCACATTGATATTTTATATTATTAGTAGTCAATTTTAACTTCCATTGAAAGCCACAAAATCAAATAATCATTGGGACAAATTTCATGTGCTCCTTAATAAATACTACGTATATTAAGCAAATGCATAACCTACTTCAAAGTTCATGCAATATATCACCGTGACAATAGTTCATGCAATATATCACCGTGACAATTTACATTTACTCCAACTTCTATTTTCCCTTTTAAGCCCATTTTCAAATTGAATGCTCACTAACTTTAGAGTATAGTATGCAATATGTATGGTTTTGTTGAGTACGGAAATTGATTGTGTAACAATATGTCGCCAATTTATAGATGCATTGATTATAGTTCTAAAGGGATGAAGATTTATAACTTTTTTCCATTTTAAGCAAGGGCTACGTGTTACTCACATAGTCATCACATCCTAATTTTGTTTATTCTAGAATTACACAAGGGTTAAAAGGAAAATTTATGTAGATATCCTTTGTTGTATATGTGGATAAATAAAAGTGTGGGAAAATATATTTTTTGAAATAAAGATGGTGCGTAAAGTTGTAATTAAGGATGAAAATTTTGAAGTTACACAATTTTCTTCTTCTTATTTTATCATTTATTTTCATAAAAAAAAAAAAAAAAAAAAAAAAAGGAAGACATGCAAAAAATTTGAGAATTGAAGGTTTGAAGCCTATTAAAAGTAGGTAAGAAAAAAATACGAAGTATGTTTGAGTTGCTATGAAGTAAGTACATTTTGGCTCGTTGTCTTTCGGGGGGGGGGGGGGGGGGGGGGGGGGGGGTTGGGGGGGGAGACGAAATTTTACTCTTTAATCTTTAAATGTAGTCCATAAAGATTTTACGAGCAAAGCTTGTTGACATTTACGAGTAGAATGTAAATTGTGATATGTATGTGATTACGGGAATACACTATGAGTTGTGTATATTCTCGTATGAATTGTCGGCATATATAAAAAGTTAGCTCAAAAAAAGAAAATATACAAATATAACACTATAGCCAGCTGTTACGGGTGGTGTTTTCTTTCAACTAAGATTCCAGTGTTTAATTCTAATCTCATTATCACAATAATGGTTTAAGCTAAGATTTGGTTAATAAAATGTCTTATCTGAGCATGTGCAGGGTGATCGATCGCATAGGGCCCCTGAGTGAAATTATTATAAAAGGGCCTCAATTTTTGAATTTAGTAACATATTTTTCCTCCAAAAAATGATTTTAAGGCCCAATTTAATAAAATTGCACTGGGTCAATTTCAATGTTAGCATTTATAACCCCGCCTCTATACCTGAGTACTATATTTTGTCATTTTCCACCTAATTAAATTTGAAAGGCACCTGATGAATGATGATATGAAATATATAATTAATTTTGTATTAATTAACTTACATCGTGATAATGACTGTTGTATGTGTCAGTAGCTGGCGTGGCTTACATTGTCTCTATGATTTTTTTATTATGTAAATTAGATTCTCAATTATAGAATCAACGGTAAATAATGTATTAGAACGTGATTCATGTGATACTACTTAGTCAATGTATCAACTTTTTATTAAGGGTTTTTTAAATTTCTTTTTCTTTAGTGGTTGAATAGTTAGAACTTGTTTTATGGATCTTCTACTAATTGTAAATCATATACGTGATGATATCCTTAATGGTTCATTAATTGCAAATCATATATACGTGATGGTATCCCTAATGGTTAATTAAACAATAGTAACAAAGGTTATACAAGACTAATGTCAAGGGTAGTATCAACAAATAGAAAATATCTGGGATCAATTAATTAAGGAGAATATGAATATCATGTATGATTAATTTGTATGATATCAGCAAGCTATACATGATCAATGATCGACCTTGACTTGATCAATTCTATCAGTTGGTTGGCCAGAGTATCCGATGTTTATAATCATAAATATATGTTCGTTGCTCATGTATCAATTTTGCTTAGTGCCGATATGATGGAATAATAGTGGAAGCTTGAAGCAATTTTTTTAGTATTTAAAAAGCCATAAGGATGAGTGATGAGGATCGATCCGAGGATCACTTGATACCAGGAGGGAAGTTCTAACTATTTGAACAATTACTAGTTTTGTTTTGTTTTTGAAAAAAAAATACATGAATGAACCAGTTGGTAATTGCATATTTAATTTTTATTCATTTATTGTAATACCCTTATTAGGTTTGGAAATTATTTTAATTTTGGTAATTAATTTTTTTATTGGTTATTCCTAGGTTTATTTGTAAAGATTCCACCAACCAAAGTATAGTTGTAAACTTGACTATTTATCTAATATCAATCAATGAGAATACTCAAGTTGTTTAAACAACCATCATTATCCAGCTTAATTAGCTGTTTTGTACTGAGGTTTACAATAAAGTATTCAAGTGTCCTAATCATGTCGGAATTCGTGAAAGATTTTTGAAATTAAAAAAATAAAATAAAAGAGTACAAGTAATAACATGGCTACCATAAAATTGTGCAGTTACATTATACGGAGTATTATATTACGTATGATTCTAAGTCTTAATTAGTGGATCGTTAAACAACCATATTCTGCAAACCATATCGTCCATAATTCCATATATCTGTGCGATGTCATTGATTGCCAGAAAAGTATGCAATTAATTGTACTTATAAGTTATAAATAATATGTTAGCCCCTATCAGATCAGATCCACCTTGTTCACCATGATTTTAGGTGACAAGCCTCGGCGGCTTTTTAGCCGCGTAATGCTAAAGTCAAATTAATAATGCTTAATAAGACATTGCTATACTACCCACGACGGTAATCCTTTACTTTCATGTATATAAACTTTTGAAGCTTTTTTCTTTTTAATTTTTTTTTTTTTTTTTTTTTTATGAAACTTGAAAACTCGCAAATTAATAAAAAAAATTTATTTACTTACGTTATATTAACCAATAAATTTTACCTTAAAGGGTCTTATTAAAGTTACAATATTTCACTTTTCTTCCAAATAAATCTCTCAAATAGATTAAAAAAAAAACTTCATAAATAATTAACATTATTTTTAAAACTGTAAAAACACATACCAACAATATGAAAAATTGTGAAAGTAGACCAGTTTTAAAATTTTCAAATATAATAAAGAATGTGGGACTATGAAAGTTCGGAGTAAAATGAGTATGATTTAAAATAAAAACGACTCAAATTAATGTGGGAAGAATGATAGGGATTATATACTCCGAATATCCTATATATTTTGCGTGTATTTCCTATAACAAAAATATCTTTAAGGAATAAAGTAAGTTATAATAAAATATATATATATATATATATATATATATATATATATATATATATATATATATATATATATATATATATATATATATATATATATATATATAACCTCCGTCGATATGTAGGTCATGAAATCCTAAATTAATTCTAATTTAAAATATTTATTTACCTTTTATATTTTGTCTTTAGAGTTGCATATATTATAAACGTGTAACCTGTTTCATTACCATGTCTAAGTTACATCTCTCAGCTCGATTCTATAAATCGTAAGTCCTTTATCAATTAATAAATCATATGGATCGACCGGAGTATATATATTCATAAAGCATTCATAAAGTGCAAGTATTTTATAAAGATGCACACAAGCAAATATAAAACAACAGCAAATAGACAGTCTTTGATGACCAGCTGTATAGTAGCACACACTTGACACCATATTGTACATTTCACTATTGTAAACATATTGCATACAACAAACGATAATAACACACCCGGCTATACGTCGTTATTTGCTAGATGCCGCCCACTAGGCCATCGATCGATCAGTAGTTTTCGACGTAGAGCTAATCGATTACTTGTCGTCTTTAAGGTGATGAGCCTCGATATCTCTAGAGACTGCAATGCAAAAGTCGATTAACTTGGTAGGATAGTGGCCTTTATCATCTATTGTCTCAAACTCAGCAATCCATTTCACTCCGGTTATGTTACCCATTGGAATCACTTGGACTGTGAGAGTGAAGGTCTTAAACTCGTTTAGAAGATCTCCTTCGATGATTTTGAATCTCACTAGCTTGTTCTCTTCGTCAATTACTTCCACTAGCTCCTTTGCGACGCATTTTTTTCCGTCTGTAATTCATGGAACCACCACCATTATTGAGATTGATTCATGTGAACGCGAATTGAATTAAAAATAACGCGAAGTAGGTTTGATTTTGGTAGTTAGTCAAGCCTTTCAACTTTAATTATATGCCTTTTTAACTTGTTAATAATTAAATTGTCATAAACTAATTGGTTGTTGGTGTAGTGGTGATTGGGACTACATTTGGTCAGGAGGACTGTGTGTTCGATCCCCCACAACAACAATTGGGAAGAGATTGGAATCTAACCACCCAAAACCGATCCCCGAATCCGAATTAGCCCAAAGGGTAAAGCGGGTGAAATACCAAAAAAAATAAAATTAAATCGTAATAAGATGGGATGGCTGGTAAGCAAGGCGTATTAAAATTAATTAATTATGCCTATCCCTAATAAAGGAGTTGAACCAATTTGAACTAAAGGAAGGATTTATAGTACTTCCTCCGATCCATTCTTTTTGAGCAGGCATATGTTTATCATATTTGTCAACGCACAAGCTTAACGATTAATATCAATAAATTATATCATTCTAACGAAATATCACATGACTATGCTTGATTTTTTGTAAATATAAATCACAAAACCTAGTAGTCAAAAAAGAATATACATAAAAACATCATATATATAATTGTAATAATGGATTTTGAAAATTACCGAGGGTATAGTCCCAGTTAATGATAGAGCCAGGCTTGCCAAATTCACCGTCGTGCACATCACAAGCATGAATATTTGAGGGAGACATGTCGGAGACATGGTGAGGCCTCGTGCTAAAAATTTCATGAAAAATATCACCATGACAATTTATATCAACTTCAACTTCCAATTTCCCTTTGATGCCCATTTTTGAGAAAGTAGAGTAGAGCAAACAAAAATTAGATTTGTTGACCAATTATTTGTTTTAATTGCTCCCTTTTATAAGCGCATTAACTATTATTACCTAGTATATCTTATTCTGAAAGGCCAAATATTTATATATATATAATTTTATTTTTTTATTCTATGATATGGCTGTTATCGGCAACAACTAATATCTTCTTTTGTCGACCACACTAATTATGCTATGTATTTAGGATCAAACTAAATGATTTCTTATTATATTTTGATGAAGAGAGTGAGAAATATATAGCCCAGGTGGTTAGAGTTTTCCTCCAGATTTTAGGGAATTTTGGGATTGATTTTCATCACCCACCCTTGTGGCCTTCTTCATAAAAATTTATTTTAATGAAAAGAATTCCTTTATTGCGTTTGATCTTGCTTTGGTATAGCAATTACATGGAAAAAAAAAAACATGAAAAATGAATAAGTTACATTCAATTGAATACTGTTACTTTTTCAAAACAAAGGTAAAGAATACATTCATAAAATACTTTTTATAAACAATGCTAAGATGTTAATTTTTGTTTGAAAAAGGGAGTATACTTTTTTGAACAAGATAAAGAGAAAAAAAAAAAAAAAAAAAAAAAAAAAAAGAGTACGCGTTTTATATATTAGATTGTGCAACTCGTGAATAATCTAATTATTGTATATTGGTGTTTAAAAAAAAAAAGATTAATGTCCTAATTAATCACTTGTCAAACAATCATTCATTATTAATTTACAATTGCTGACAAATCATTATCGATACATTATTGATTATTTGTGAATTAATTAATACTTATCAAACTCAAAAGAAAATAAATTTAGACCCATTAAGCGTTAATCATGTCCGGTGGTCACTAATTGCAAACAATTATACAAATAAATGAATAATAATAAACCCATGTACAAGACGCGTACAATTTTTTTGTATATTAAATCCATAATAGAAATACTTTTAGTAATTATTGGATGAGAAGGACTTACTATGTATTCGTTCCAAAATTTAATACAATGTCTATTGTATGAGAGTTGAGACCAAATTAAAATATGACATGTCTAATATATGAGACTCGAGACCATAATCTCACATTCGAAGCCAAAACCTTGTTCAAATTTGAAAAATATTCTTATATGGACTACTCTGTATATTTCGTAAATTATAAACTGTGTTAGTATTATCATTCAACATTCTTGTTTTTATTTATTATATTTGAGTTTAATTTTCACTCTGCTCAATTGATTTTTTTATTTTTTATTATTTTTTTTAATCTAAAAATAATTCTCTCTCGGTTCATTTTTATTATTACTTAGAATAATTATATCACACACGGAATAAAAGAGTGTTCTAAGGTTTTTGAATTATTATATGACATGCATCAAAATTATCTACTCAATAGTCAATATATATTCATGCATAATTGACTTCTTATTGACTTGTTTAATTTACTGTTTATAAGTCAATATATATTCTTGCTTAACAAGGACTTATAAACAGTAAATTAAACAACGTTATTCAACACATCACAATTTCTAAGTACAGTCAGAAATTTATCGCACACAGTAGATGAAGATATACATTCATATCATACATTTATCGCACACTCTTAATTAAGTAGACACGCAAGTCCCATCGAAACACATCATATTTTCTACAATCGGAAATGTACCATTTTATTGCATACAATTGATGAAGATGGTCCATACACTCGTACACACATTCATGACACGCACTTAATTAAGCAGATGTGCGCGCCCCATCAGCTGCTAATCATGCTTTGAGGTGATGAGCCTCGATATCTCGGGTGACTTCAACACAAAAGTCCATTACTCTAGTAGGGTAGTGTCCTTCATCGTGCTTCTTCTCAAACTCGATAGTCCACATAACCGCAGTTATTTGATCCTTTGGAATCACTTGTACAATGATAATGAAGCTGTTAAACTCATTTAGAAGATCTCCTTCTATGACTTTGAATCTCACTAACTTGTTCTTCTTGTCAATTGCTTCCACTAGCTCCTTTGCAACACACTTCTTACCATCTGTACTTTGAAAGTGAGCATCTTGAATAAAAGACTATATACTGGTATAGTGTAAAAGATAAAAGTAAGACAATGAACTTATTGAGATACGTACATACGGATTACTAGCTTACTTTGTTTATTTTTAGTTGCAACATCATTTTAAGTTTTACACTATTCACATTATGAGTTGATTATCTTTACTGATTTATTTTCAATTATAAATATAGTCATATGGGAGAGCTTGTTAGATTATATTCATCTCAAATTAAAGATTCTCTCTCCTTAAATTAATGGTTCCAAACCAGACAAAATAAATATATAAATAAATAAATAATAGTTGAAGAGATTGACATGCAATAAAAACTTCAACCTAATCATCGTGATGTGTGCTAATTAATACCATATATGAGGTAATTAATTACTTTATCGAACAATATAAATTAAATTCAACCCTAATGGTGAAAAATAGTAAACTAAAGGTATTAACCATCACAAATAATAAACAAATTACTTCCGTATTATACATGTCGTAGTAGTGATATTTTGCATTATATCAAAAGTCAATTTTGAAAAAAAAATAATTAAATAATCATTGGGGCAAATTATAATAAATATGAACAAATGCACAATAACCTACTTCAAAGCATGACATTATCTCTTCAATAAATAGAAAACAAGGGAGCAAATTAGTTACGACGAAGATGGCTAGGTCTATATAATGGTTAAACAACATATATAATTGTAATGGCGATGGTTAAGAAATACCGAGGGTATAATTCCAGAAAATAATAGAGCCAGGCTTGCCAAATTCGCCATGGTGCACATCACAACCATGAATTTTTGAGGGTGTTATGTTGGAGACATGGTGTGGCTTGCTACCAAATAATTCATGGAATATATCACCGTGACATTTTATATCTACTTCAACTTCCAACTTCCCCTTAATACCCATTTTAAGATGCTCACTTTTTTTTTTTTGGAATAGATATGCTCACTAACTTTAGTGTAGAGGAAATAATATTGGTGGTCAGTAAATTGATTGCGAAATATATAAACATAAGGTGCCAATTTATAGAGGAATTTCCGTTGTAAGCTAGGGCAACATATTACTTACATATTCACATTATTTAATTTTGTTTATATTGACGACCAATCTGCATTTGCCAAATTAATTCGCTATTTTTAATTAGTAGGTAAGAAAAAAAATGGTTTGGGTGGTCCACTTTAATCAAATACGACTCATTTCTTATTACAATTTATTTTTTGAATTGATTTAATTGATCATATCTGAACTTATTTTATCTAAATTAAATTGTTGATGAAATTTATGTTTCAAGAACTTACCATAGTGGGATTGTACTTTCTCGGCCAGTGAAAACATTATCAAGAGTTGCCTATGATGTGCTACGAAGTAATTACAGTGTAGAATTTCATGATAATAACAAAATTTGCTACATGTTATCACCAAAAATCATAATTTAAATTTTATACATTGAGATAAAGAGTATTTTGCAAGAATAATCAAAGCAATTATACTCCATGTACATATATAGGATCTATGTACTTCGAAATAAAATGACTCTTGACTACTCATCTAATCTCAAAGAATTTATACATTATCAAACGAACTATTACTATAAGTAATTGTACTACTCCAGGTGAAGCAAGACTAGAAAAGCCTGCAAGTGATGAGACCATAAGGTATATGTATATACCCGCTACTTAACTATCTAGGAGCGGCAAGCTCACTAAAGAATATATATAATGATGTAAACGATATTCAATTATTTTAGCTTTATGTTTTACACTTAAGACTTTTTTTTTTCATTATGGAATGAATAATAGGGTCAAATTTTAATGAGCTGTGGAAATTAAAAGAGTTTACAAATATATGCTCCGATCCACCCCATATCATTCAAGTGTAGTAATCTAGCTGTTGATTTGAATGAGCTATAGTATTCAATTCTCATCCCTACAGATATGCAAACAAGAGAAATAAACAAACTCATGGCTCAAAATACGTACATATTTGAGAATTAATTTAGCTTTAAGTGTTGTCGTTTAGGACTTTGCTAGATAAGCTAGTTGACATTTATGAATATGTAGATTGTGCTATGTTATTAGTATGTTGTGAATTTGTGATTATGCAAATGTTTGCGCGCGCACGCACACAAAAAAAAATGTATACGTAGAACTTTTTCTGTTTTTTTTTTTTTTTTTTTTTTTTTTTTTTTTTGAATAGAAGTGTGCGTAGAAATTACTTCCAACTAAAATCTATTGTTTTAGTTTAATCTTATTATTTCAATATAATGATTACGCTAAGGTTTGGTTTATGAAATGTTTTATCTGAAACCATATTTTGTCATTTCCCACCTAAAAGGCACCTGAAGATATGAAATATATAATTAATTTTGTATTATTAACTTAGTTACATGGTGCTAATGACTGCCGCTGCGTCAGCAGCTGGCCTAGCTTACATACATTGTCTCTATGATTTGGATTATGCGTGCTAATTACTTATTAGACCCTTAATTATAGAATTAATGATGAATTTTGTATAGTAGGACGTGATTCATGTGATACTACTTAGTCAATATATCATGTGTCATGTGACCCAGCTCAACTTTTTAGTTAGGGTTTTTTGTTCCCAAGTGGTTGAATAGTTTTGATCTTGTTGTCGTAAGATCTTCTAGGATTACAATAATTTACTAATTCTTGTCGGAATCAGAAAAAAATAATAATATATTTTGATCATTTTATAAAGTTTTAATTTTGTTTATATGTGGACAAACATCGATCATTAGTTATATTTTAATAAAAATTATGGCAATTCTCACATATTTGAAAAGTATATATTGAGACCGGGAAAAACTTATCCATATCCGAGTATCCGACTTGAAACCTGATCTAGACCAGATACTCGGAGGGACCCGAGTCAACATAACCTAATTGCACCAAACAGAATGCAATTAGGCACATAGCTGTTATTTATTTGGAATACATATAGGAGGACTAACTGGTAAATTCATATAATTTTTGTAATTTTTTGTTGT